CTCCCTGACCCAATAGAAGTTTCTGACCCAATTAAAAAAAATAATAACCACCGGCATCCACTGTCTCTTTGCTACACATCAGGACACCCCACATCAGATGGATTTTGCTTTACCTTCCCCTGATCCCTGGCCACTGGTCCCTGTGTCCTGGATATCCGCTGGTCCCTGCTGTGCTGTCCCAGCGCTCTCCTCTCGCTTTTCTTTGGGAAACACAAAGCACAAGACATGGGCTGATGGAGCAATTAGTGATGGCAGTCGGGCTTTAATGGCTGCAGATCTGCAGGTTTTCAGAGCAGATTTAGAATTGCTCATTTCTTTAGTTATGAGCTCTTCATATCATCCCTCTAATGTGTCCCAGATTCTGAAATACTCCAACTCACCATTACAGCTCCCACAGATTAGGAATTTGGACTAACACACAGCACATCCCGTTATTCATGCTACAGAGAAAACAGAACTTTTTTCTCCCAACATCTAGAGACAGGCAGCCCCATACAATACCTTGGCATCGCTTCTCTCCAGCAAAACTCTCAGGCGTGATGTCCTCTGGCAATGAATTTCTGTTTTCCTCCAGACTCTCCTCTGCAGGTGAAGTGTCAGGGCTCATTTCTGCATTTGCGTACGGGACTGTCCCAACAGATTTTGCAATTTCTTGGAGGGCACCGATGACCTGGAGCGGGCCGTCCCGCGGGGGAACGCTCCCGTTGCACGCCGGCATGGTGGCGGCTGCGGGCACCTCTTCTGTCATGCTGAGGGCCGTGCCGGGCCGGGCCGGGCCGTGCCCGCTGCCCCGGGGTGGGGAGCTGCTCCTGGCCCCTCGGGCCCGGCTCTGGTCCCCTGCGCGAGCGGCCCTGGCGCGTCTCCTGTGCCCAGCCCGGGCCGCACCATCCGCTGTGCCCGGGCCTCGCCAGCCCGGTCAGCACCTCCCTCTGCCTGCCCCCTGCATCATTAAACGCACCGTTATAATTTACATAAACAAACAATCTGAAGCAAGGAAGCTTTTGTGCTGGCCCGGAGAGCGGGGCCGCGGGCATGTCAGCGCCGCGGGAATAAGCAGGAGTCTGTGCTCTGGGCACAATGGCTCTTTGTGTCCCCGCTGGCCACAGGGACAGCCATTGTTCTGACCCCTAATCCCCGGAGGGTGACCACCTTCCCCAGCCTGCCACCGAACCCGCTTAACATTCCCCAGCGGGTTTGCGCCGGGGAACCTCGCCAGGGACGGAGCTCGGGGCTCACCGAGGATGGAGCTCACCAGGGATGAACTTTGCCATGGATGGAGCCCACCGAGGATGGAGCCCGCCAGGGATGGAGCTCACAAGGGATGAACTTTGCCATGGATGGAGCTCACCGGGGATGGAGCTCACCAGGAATGAACTTTGCCATGGATGGAGCTCACCGGGGATGGAGCTCACCGAGGATGGAGCTCACCAGGAATGAACTTTGCCATGGATGGAGCTCGCTGGGGATGGAGCTCACCAGGGATGAACTTTGCCATGGATGGAGCTCACCAAGGGTGGAGCTCACCAGGGATGAACTTTGCCATGGATGGAGCTCCCCGAGGATGGAGCTCACCGGGGATAAACTTCACCATGGATGAACCTTGCCACAGATGGTGACTGCCATGGATGAACCTCACCATGGATGGAGCTCACTGTGGAGGAACCTCGCCATGGATGAAGCTTGCCATGGGATGGAGCTCGCTGTGCATGAACCTCGTTATGGATGAAGCTCACTGTGGATGGAGCTCTCCATGGATGAAGCTCACCGTGGATGGAGCTCACCATGGATGAACCTCGCCATGGATGAAGCTCACCATGGATGAACCTCGCCATGGATGAACCTCGCTGTGCCCTGGGGCACAATGGGGGCACTTTGCCCTCGGGGGAGCAGCCCCAGCAGGGGAACAGGCAAAGACCCTGCATGCAGCGTGGTGTCACTGTCCAGCTGCGCCCAGCCACGCACCCCGGACAGCCAGCACTGCTCAGAGGGGCCACGGCTGCCCCTGGGGCCCTGGAAGTGTCCCAGGCCAGGCTGAACAGGGCTTGGAGCACCCTGGGGTAGTGGGAGCCGTCCCTGCCCAAGGCAGGGGGTGGAACAGGGAGAGCTTTAAGGTCCCTCCCAACCCAAGACATTCCGTGGTTCTCTCGGTAACTCTCAGTCACTCCGAGGGCTGGCAGGATCCAGAGGGAGCGTTTTGCAGAGGGAAGCTGGAGAATCACCCCAGCAGCAGTGGTGCATTTCTGACCACAGCTGAACTCGTCCCAGCCCTGGTGCCCAAAGTCAGGTTTACATAACAGTGTAATCTCCTACTGTGAATGACATTCTGTGTTTGTACAATACAGCATTTCTGGTATCTTTGGGATTTAGGGTTTGGAAATCCTCTTGTCAAGTTCAGCCCCCAATTAGAAACGGACCCAAACACTTTCCACTGCTCCTATCCATCTCTTGAGTTTGTGTCTTTAAACCAGGAAGTTTTCATTATTGTTTTAAAATTAATTTGGTGTGATTGATTTATCAAATCCATCCTTTGCTAGCAAACATTGTACAAGAAAAGTGAACAATAAAGTTTGAACCTGAGCTGACAATGAGCAGCGGTTGGTGCCCTCAGGAGAGGCTGAGTACCCAGCAAGGTCTGGTGGCTGGAGAGGAGAAGGTTCTTTCCAATTATCACAGAATCACAGAAGGAATTGCAGGATTGCAGAAGGAAAAGGCAGCAGGTGATTCCTCCCACCACAGGCAGCTGTTTGTAAACAGCTGGGCAAAACCACCTCTCAAGGGCAGGGAAATATTCTCTCCATGGAATCCACAGGGTGGATTTCTGCCTCTTCAAGCTTTTAAAAATTAAAAAGCTTTATTCTGTCCGATCTGGTGTGGCACAGCCACAGCTGGATGTGACACCAGTAACAGCAGCCGGTCCATGCCAGGAGCACCGGGACTCACTCCTGGCTCTGTCTATGGATAAAGTGTGAGTCCCTTTGCCTTGAGGTGCTGGCAGGCCAGGCTCAGCTGCCCTCGATGGCAGCTGTGCCATCTTCTGCCCTGAGCCCTGAGCGCTGGGTGTGACCAGCTGCTGCACGGGAACACGGCCGCAGCGTGGGGGAAAGGAAGCGCTGGGTGCGGCTGCAGGAACCAGCCCGGCAGAGCAGCAGGAGGGAGGCAGCAGCACCGTCCCTGTGGAACCCAAGAGGCAGCAGCACCGTCCCTGACTGTGGGCCAAGGTGGCACCCAGGAGTCAGGAGCTGGCGGGAGGGTCTGGGCAGTGGGCAACACTCAGCTGAGCAGTTAAGTCCCCTGAGAAGGTCAGGCTCTGTAGCATTCATCAAATTAATTGAAATGTTCAGTTTAAAATCCAATTTCATTCATCGAGGACCAGCTGCGCTCTTCTCTGCAGTAAACTTGTGTTACCCGCTCAGCCCCTGGGGAATAAGCAGAGAAAAGGTTCCACTGGCTGCTGGGAACTCTCCAACACCCCTGTGATCAGTGAGAACTCTGCTGTGGGGTGTCCAGAGCCCACGGAGCTGGACCCCAACCCCTGGTGTCACTGTCCCATGCTGCCTGAACACCCACCCTCCTCCTGCCCCGCTCCCAGGAAGCAGAGCAGGATCCACCCAAAGTGCTCTCTGCGAGGAGAAATGCCTTTTTTAAAAGCTGTTGCAGTTGCTTTTCCCTCTGAGCACGTTGGCTGGCCTGTGAGCTCCTTCCTCCCCGCAGGCTGGGGCACAGCAGGGCTCGGTGCTCGGCACCCACATCCTGTTTGTGGCCGTGGCTGAGGGGTGTCACGCTGCTGTCACTCTGCCATCACCCACAGCACACTCTCACCCTGCTGGGAGGGCATTGCTTCTTCACTCTGTCCCACTGTGGGTGCTCAGGCTCCTCAGCCTTCCCACACCCACAGAAAGTGTCTGTATCCCAGTGTGGCAAATCAACCTTTCATGCCCAAAGGCATCACACCTTTGGGCTGTAAAGCTGCAGCACTTTGGGGTCCCTTTCTCAGTGCTGGAGCTGTCCATTCCCTTTGAGCTCTACAATGACTCTCACCAGATGTTCTGGTTTTTCTGCCCCTGGTTGCTTTTGGACACCCCTACATCTGCCTTTAACTCAACATTTTGGCCAAATAGAACCGATCTCTGATTTTATTTTTTTTTCCTCCTTTCAGGGGGTGCTACTGGCTTATCTCGCAGGGAAGCTGTTGGATTTAGCCTGCGGTCTCTGAGAAGCCCAGAAAACCCCAGCACAGAGGTACCTGAGGGTACAACAGCACAGGCTGCCCAGGCAACAGGAGAATGAGTCACACAAGGTCTTCGAATTATATTTAAAATGCTTCCAGTTGTATTTCAAAAACATCATTAGGCTGCTCAGGCTGAACAAACAGCCTTTCCTGTGTACTGAGAGGGAGTGAAAAAACTCTTTTTTTCTTCACATCTGTGCCCATGGTTATTAAACCCCACTTCACACAGGCTCTGGTGTGATCCTTACTGCCTGAAGCCTCTGCTTCTGGAGAAATAGATGTGAGCAGCAGTGGAGTGCTGAGAGCAGTGGGCACTGGTGGGCCGGGTCCCCAGCACGGCACGCCAGGGCGGTCCCTGGATGTCACCAAGCTGGCAGAGCAGAGCAGTCCTGCTCATCCCTGCAGGACAACCCTCCGCCCTTCCTCCCTCTGGCCTCAGAGAGCTCAGTCAGGCAGACACACAGAGCTGCTGGGGCAGTGCCACGGGCAGCACTGCCCTCCCCAGCACGGCCCTGCAGAGGAGCCGGGGCACATGTGCATGCTCTGGAGGGCCCTTTCCCCTCCACCTGGCCTGGAAGGAGGCACTTGGCAAGACAAGGGATGCCAGCGCCTGGCAGAGGCTGCAGCTGGCCAGATCAAACCAGCACGGGGTTATCACACGGTTTGTGCAGCGGTGCCGGGCACAAACCTGGCACTCAGAACTCCCTGCCCGGGCTCTCCCTGCCACACGCTCCAGGCTCCGTCCTCTTCCCAGTGGGGCTCTGCAACTGGGTTCAGTAGAAGCACTCGTTTTATTAAAGACCTTTGGAAGACACTGACTCTGGTAACAGGAAATAAATAGCTATCAATTTCGCATTCAATTAAAAACTGTTTTTAACAGTGAAGTTCGCTGAGGAAGTTCTGCAAAGGTTCTTCACGTTTTGGAGTCGCTCATTTTTCACGTTAATGAAGAGGCCCACAGCGTGCTCTGATTAAAAATGAAAATAATTACAACCCCAGAGCCGGGTGACTCTCATCAGAGCTGCTGTCCAGGGGAGTGCCCCGCGGTGCCACCGCCTCAGGCCACAGCCCAGACGCGAGGGTGACACGTGTGCCATCAGACCCGGCTTTCCTCCTCCTCTAGCGGCCGGTGAAAGCCCGGGATGAATTTCAGCAGGTGCTTGCGCACACTGGCCCTGCGGCTCTTGCGCGGGAGGGTGCCGAGGCTGCCGGAGCAGCTGCTGCTGTCGCGGAGCTGCCGCGGGGACGCGGAGCCGCTGCTGGCCAGGCTGATGCTGCGGTTCCTGCGCAGCGAGCTCCGGGCCGCGGGGAACACGCAGTCCTCGTCCAGGCTGGGCTGCCGGCTCCGGCTCTCTGCCGCCCAGTCCTCGAAGGCGCTGCCCTGGCAGAAGCTGTCCTCGCTGCCCACCGTCATGGAGCTCAGGCGGCTGCGGGAGCTGCTCTCGCTGGAGAAGCGCGTCTTGCCCGGGAAGAAGGGTCCCGGGGAGCTGCAGCCACCCCCCGGGCTGGGCTCTCCGGGCTCCAGGCCCAGCAGAGCGCTGTCGTTCGCCTCCCCTGCAGCAGGAGCAGAGAGCGATGTCAGGCAGCCCCGCTGGGCCGGAGCAGCGCGGCTGTGCCCGGCAGCGCCCCGCGGCCCCTCGGCCCCGGCCCCCCGGCCCCGCGGCCCCTGGGCCCCCCGGCCCCTCGGCCCCTCGGCCCCTCGGCCCCTCGGCCCCTCGGCCCCCCGGCCCCTCGGCCCCTCGATCTCTCGGCCCCCCGGCCCCTCGGCCCCTCGGCCCCGCGGCCCCCCGGCCCCCCGGCCCCTCGGCCCCGGCCCCTCGGCCCCTCGGCCCCCCGGCCCCTCGGCCCCGCGACCCTCGGCCCCGGCCCGGGCGGCGGCTGCTCCTGCCTCTGAGGAGCTCCCTGCCCCCCGGCCAGCCCAGAGCAACCCCAGCCCAGCGCCTTCCCCCGGAAAACCAAACCGAGAACGGAGGAAACGTTACCACCCGCATGAACGCCTGGCCCAGGACCGACGCCCAGAGCCCTCGGTGCGCTGCAGCAGCAGCCGGGCTCAGTGCCCCGGGCCAGGCTTGTTCCCGGGCCAGCCCCCCGCCCTCCCGAGGGAAGGAGGCGGATGCCGGTGCCGGTGGGATGCAGAAGCGCTGTCCCCCGCACGTACCGTGCAGCAGGAGCCGCTCCCGGGCCAGCAGCGCCCGCAGCTCTCCCCACCGCTGGTGCAGCGCCTGCTGTGGGGACAAGGAACAGCTCCGTCACTCCAGGGAGCGAAAACAGCCCGCACAAGTGCGGCTCACCCGCAGGAACACTCGGGTGCCCCACTGTTTTACCCACCGTTTAGCAAATTTCTTCCAGAAAACACGAGTGGGCTCATGGCCGAGGGGCTCTGCCCAAGGCACCGGCCACATCCCATTTGGGAAAGGAGCAGCCTGGAAGCTGCGGAGCGTGGAGCCCACCTTCACCCAGCTGGGGCAGTGCCAGCGCTCTCCTGCAGCCCTGCCCAGCTCTGGAGCACCCAGCAGGACCAGGCACCCCACTCCTCCTGGCCAGGCCTCCCAGCATGGGAATGGCACAGCCAGCCACCCCTGCCTGCTGGGAGCACACCTGGGGATCCTGACAGCCCCCCAGTGCCACCAGCCATCCAACACCCAGCCTCCTTGCTTTCCCTCTGCTGCAGGTCAGCTCTGGGGGTGAAATCAGCCACTGCAGAGCTGATTAAAAATGCCAAACAGGCGAGCCTGTGCCTGGGGACAGCCACAGAAGGAGCCACAGCCTCCAGTCCAGTGCCCTCTGTGCAGAAGGACATTCCTACACCCAAACTGACCAGCCTGAGCTCACCTGGGCAGTCCAGGGATTGTGACCACATTTCTTCTCTACTCCTGGTTTACAGAAACTGATGCCAAGGGCACCAGGGCTGGGGGTGCTGGCAGCAGGGAGCCCACGGGTGTCAGCCCTTGCCAGGATGCTGTGTCCCATGGAACCCTCCTGCCCCATCAGCAGTGAACCCACAGCAGCCATCTCCATTTGACAGTGGAATTAACCACAGTACCTCGAGAGCCTGCAGTTTGGTCTCCAGCTGCATTTTCCTCAGGAGCAAGGCCCCGTTGACGGTCTCTAACCTGTGGGAAGGGGTGATGCTGGCCCTGGAGCAGAGGCTCTGCCCAGCCCAGCCCTCGGGGTGTCTGCCCCTCAGGCGCTGTGGGGCTGTGGGGAGCATGGTCCTGCAGTGGGAGAGGAAATTAGACCAAACCCCACCCAAAGGAGGGACACCCACCTCAAATAGTTCCCTGAAGACTTTATCAAGTCCACTATCTGCTTGTGACCGAAGCCCTCGATGCTCACGCCGTTGATGCTGCTGAGGATGTCACCTGAGGAGACACACAGAGGCCACGGTGGGCACCTGAGCAGGCCCTCGCCTGCCCCACGGGAGCAGCAGCAGGCACAGGGGAGCATCGGGCCTCCCACGCCGGGAAAACCCACGGACAGTTACCAGTCTGAAGGCCAGAGAGGTGGGCAGGGCTTTCCTCTTGGATCCTGCAGACACAAGTGCACACCTCCAGGGAGAAATCATCGTGGTGTGGAAACCTAATAGTCTGTTAATGCCAAAGGGACAGTTACCAACCCTGGAGCCATGAAAGCCTTTTAAAATTCAGTATTTTTTCAATGAGAAGGCTGTGACAAGCAGAGTACATTGTATGCGAGTGAGATCAAAATGCTATACCCCAACAATTAAAAATGCATTTGTACAGCAGAAAACAGAAGACACCTTACAGGTGCCTCTACACTGGGTTTGAGAAAAAAAAACAACTTAGTTTTAAAGCAAGCTGGTTATTCAGCATTAAAAACTCTGCAACTCCAATCAAGAGTATGTCAGCATGGGTGGGAATGGCTTTCTGGAAAGATGTCTCATGCTCCCGGGGGTAAGAGGATGGCACTGGGGCTCTTCAAGGGATTGACTCCTATTCATTGGAAATGCTCTGTGGGGTCAGCTGCTGCTACCACACAGCTCAGTTTGCATGGGAACTGAAAAGGCAGAAGATTTAAATTTACTTTTGCTCCTCTGGCCTCTGGAATTTGTCATCCACACACATCTCTACACTCCTCGAAGTGCTTTTTATTCTTGACTTAGACATTTAACCAAACATTTAGTAACTCTAATTACTCTAAATCCCTCATGTGGTAACGGGTGCTGACGTGAATTTAGAAAAATGCAAAATCCGGTGCCACGGGCTGCCCGGACCCCGCGGCAGCAGGAAACCTTTTCTGGTGACATGCAAATACCACATCTGTTTCCTGGAAACCTGCAACTGCCGCTTGCAACCCAGAGAGAGCTCACGCTGGAGTCCTGGATCTCCCAGCCAGTGTGGACAAAGGGATGGAGGCCGGGAAGTTCAGAGCTCATCTGGCCAAATCCCCCCTGTTGATTCCAGCTTTTGGACTAGCACTAAAATTCATGCCTAAGCTGAGAGTGGAGTGAAGCACGAGCTCCCTGCAGGTTTTATACAGCAAAATTAAGAGATAAGGTCTAAACAATAGAGACAGTGTCCAGTGTGGGCTCATCAGAACCACCCCGTGGGTCAGGTCCAATGGGAACTGCTCAGGGGTGGGGAAAAAGGGGTTTACAGCAAAATGCTGAAGCAAAACTTTCCTGAAACAATGGGGCATACATAAATGTATCTTTTCCTCATACCTAAATGTATCTTTTCCTCAGTTTCCAATTCCCAAGGCCTTTCTAAATCCCTTCCTCCACACTACCACGGCAGCGCGATAGCAACACAAGACCTCAAGTTTCACATCATCTTATTGTGCTTTGCCTGAATTTCTCTCACAGTGAGGGAACTGCAGCTTCTCAACATCCTCAGTAGCTGACAGATGCTGCCTTTCTGCAGCCCCGACTTTCTATGAAGTGCTCATGCTGAATATATGTTCAGGAAGAAAACGTGCCAAGAACAATTATTTTTAATCAGAACGCCACATTTCATGAAAATCTGCCCTGACAATTTACACAAAAGCCCCATAATTGACTCAATTATCCTCCCTTCTGAAAGCTCTCCTCTGTTCACAAGCTGAGTGCTGACCCCCTCATTAGTCACAGACCCAAATTGGGCAAAGTTAAGCTTTTCCTAATACACTAATTTCACAGAAAACACTTTTCCCCTCTGTGTGCAGACAGAGGAAAGCACTTTGAAAGTGCCCTGCTGCTGGCAGGCAGATTCCTCTGCTCCCAGACTACATCCCCTTATTCCTGGGATCATTTTTAACTGCAGCCAGGATTTTAGCAGACCTGATTAGGAGTTACCTTTCTCACAAAAACTCACAAACACAGAATCTCCCACTGGCAGTACTCCTGGTAGCATTCTGGTTCTCCTACTTGATGACTTACTGACTTCTACACCAAACAGAATCTCTTCCTGTATGATTTAGCTCCTGCCCCAAAAGTCATGCTTAGCAGGTCTTTATGGAAAAATATTGTATTTACCTTCTTCAAAAGTACACATCTCTCCGTGCATATTTAAGGAGGTAGCAAAAAGCCAGTATAAGGTAATTTTTAAGAGAGTTTTTTGATATCTCTCATTTTAAAATATTCTCATATAAAATTCTCAAAAAAATATTCACTTACGGAGGTAAGAAGGTACTATCATTGCCTCTTATTTGGATTTGGGTGGGGTTTCTCCTACATTCAACACTCTGACTTGTGAGAAGGCCAGAAATTCTCATCTGTGACTTTCACTACAAAAAAATCCTCGGAGAAACATCCCTGTCTTGTATGAGTGCTGTAAGCTCTTCAGATTTCACAGGCTCTGACAGGCACCTTCCTCTGCTCTGGCCTGCCCCAGCTGCTTTTGGGGGTATGACACTTCAGACTCTGCACCACATTTTGTTGTTAATGAATCAACTTGTCGTTTAGGTCTTACCTGGATTTCAAACCCAAACGTCTCTTTATCTTCTTTCAATATAGCAACGAGGTGCCTGCAGGAGGAGCGCACAGAATTCCATGTGAACGTGGGATGCTGCTCCTTGTGGGCCTGCATTTCCACCCAAAATGGTGGTGTGCCCCCACCGCCCCTCCCTGTGCCATGGGGTGTCACCACGCTGTGAGGTGTCACCACACTGTCCCTCCCGTGCCTGCAGGGTGTCACCATGCTGTGGGGTGTCACCACACTGTGGGGTGTCACCACACTGTCCCTCCCATGCCTGCAGGGTGTCACCACGCTGTGGGGTGTCACCACACTGTCCCTCCCGTGCCTGCAGGGTGTCACCACACTGTGGGGTGTCACCACACTGTCCCTCCCGTGCCCTGCAGGGTGTCACCATGCCATGAGATGCCACCACGCCGTCCCTCCCGCGGCGGTGCTCCTGTTCCCTTGCTCAAGCCAAAGGTCACACCTGCACCTGCATGTCCCAGGTGCTGAGTACCACTGCTGCCTCGTGCCCCAATCACACCTGGGCTGCCACAATCCCCGGGACACCCCCATCATGCCAGGAACAGTGACTCCAGAATCACAGAATAACACAATCCTACCTCTGTGGCTTGGAGGAGTCCTCCAAGGAGCTGGATCTGGCCAAGGCGAGCTGTGAGCAGGGACAAGAGAGGAAAGGCATCAGTAGGTCTGTGGTTCTTTGAGGCACACAGATAAAACCAGCAGTTTAGAGAACTAAAATCAGCTGCTGGCATCCCACCAATACCTCTGCCTTGGTCAAAAGAGAGCTTGAACTTTCTGACCAGAAGGAAAAGTATCTGGAGGTCAAATCCTCCAGTCAGATGCTGGTGGCAAGCTCAGGCACAAATGACATCTCTGTTGTGCCAAGAGCTAATCTCACTTTTGTCCCTTTCCTCTAAAAATCTGTGGGTGTTTATGAGGTGAACACCTGCCAGGAGAGGCACACAGCACCCCAAGGCAGGGCAGTGCAGACCCTGAGCCCTGCGGTGTCCGCACAGCCCCTCCCAGCCAGGCCCTGCTTCAGGCCAGGGACCCTTGGCTCTGGGAAGAGCCAGGTCAGCACTAAACATGGATTATAAAAGTGAGCCACGGATAAGGAGTTCCATTATCAGCGAGATAATAGGCAAGATAATAGATCAGCGAGTTTACAGTCAGTAGAGCTGATGTCTCTTCAGCAGGATAAAATGGTGCCACGGTGTGACCTCCACAGAAAGAGCCCCTTCATGGGGGTGCCTTTCCTTGCCGAGGGACAAGGGGAGGAGAGAGAGGCCGTGTTTAACCCTTTGGGAGGAGATGAGAGGCCTGCTAGCAGGGCCACAGCTGGGCGAGGGACCCCTGCTCTGGGGACAGACCCCGCAGTGCCACCTTGGCCCTGATGTAGCTCAGCTTTGCCAGTCACAGCCCCAGCGCAGCGTCACCCGGGGGCAGCTCCGGCACCGAGGGCTCCCAGGAGCTGGTGCCACCCGGCAGCCCCGCTCCCACCACCGGCCCTGCTTCCCTGTCCCCTCTCACAGCACCAGGGAAAGGTTCAGTGCCCTTCTGCGGCCCAGCAGAGCAAAGCCTGGAGCGCGCAGATATTGTGTGCAGAGGATTTTCTGGTTGTTCTGTCAGATCAGCGCGCCTCACAGACACTCTCTGTCCGGGTTCTTCGTGTCAGACCAGGAGCCCAGAGCTGAGCTGCCCTGTGCTGCTCCGGGGAAAAGCCCAGCGGCACAGACAGCCCCAGCAGCCCCAGCAGTGCAGACACCAGGAACGCTCCCAAAGCCACACGGAAAAGGCGCCTGGGGTCCCTGCTGCCAGCCTTGCAGGCAGAGGGCAGCCAGGCCGCCTGCCCGAGGTAAATGCACATTTCTGAAGCAGCAGCCAGACAGCACAAACCCTCCCCGGCTCCCAGCGCGGCTGGAAGTGCAGAGTTCAGCCGGGGCCGAGCTCAGCTGCCGCCGCCCTTCCCAGCCCGAGCATCCCTCGCTCCTGGCAGCGCTTCCCACGCTGCCAAAGCGCCGCTGCCACCCCGACACCAGCCGGCACTCACCCCCCCAGCACCCAGCCGGGCCCCGAGGGAGCCCAGGGGAGCCCAGGGGAGCCCGAGGGGAGCCCGAGGTCCGCCCTGGGCTGGGGAGCAGCCGGCAGTGGCTGTCCCTGCCCGGCCCGTACCTGCCTGCGCCCGCGGGGCAGCGTGCCCACCGTGCTGGCCAGGCGCTGCATCCTCCTGCCGTCCGCGGGCAGCGCCGGCTCCCCGCCCGCGGGGCCGGGGCCGGGGCCGGGGCCGGGGCCGGGGCCGGGCTGCAGGAGCCGCCGCAGGGCCATGGGGCTCAGGGAGAGCGCAGGGCCATGGCCCGGCTGCCAGCCCCGAGCGGGACACGCTGCCGGGAGGGCGAGGGAGGAAGGGCCCCACGTCATTGCGGTTTGGGTGCGAGCTGCACAAATCCCTCCTAGCACAGCCCCGGGCTCTCGCTGCGCCTTGTGCTCACACGGCGGCTAAGAATCAGGCTTGGCAGTTACAGAAATCTGCTTAATTTTTCCATTCCTGCACACAGTTCTCACCAGCTGCTGCTGCTCTGCCGGGATTTGTCCTCGCAGCCCTGCCTGCCTCGGGCACCCACCTGACCTCAGCCTGTTCGTACTCGGACTCGCTCGGCATCCCTGGCATCCCTGAACTCACCCTTGGGCACAGATGGGAAAATAACACCGCCCTCGGCTAATGGTGCCTGTGTGGGACCTCCAGCTGCAGAGAGGGAAGGCCAAGAGCAGAGGCTGAAGCCTGGCAGAGCAGGGCAGGACAATGCCCTCAGCCAGCACTCGGGGCTCGGTGGGGACCCAGGACTTCCTGGCACAGCAGCTCTGGGCACACAGCAAAGCCCATGCAGAGTCTACAGGACAGGGCACTGCTGTGGCAGAGCTGGGACAGGCACGGTGCCAGGGAGAGACCTGGCCAGAGGTCATCCCTGCACCTTTCCTGGATGGCCAGAGCTCAGGGAAGATTTATGACTCTGAGAACTTCTGTCCATGGAGGAGGGACAGGGATGGGTGTCCATGGAGCAGGCACAGGGATGGGTGTAAATGGAGGAGCTGCAGGGATGGGTGTCCAAGGAGGAGGGACAGGGATGGATGTCCATGGAGCAGGCACAGGGATGGGTGTCCATGGAGCAGGCACAGGGATGGGTGTCCATGGAGGAGGGACAGGGATGGGTTTCCATGCAGGTGCCTGATGTTTGCTAGTGCAGATGAGCTCTTAGTGCCAAGCGTTGGCGTGGAGCTTCCCCCACTCCAGGGGATCCCCTCATTGCCCTGGATAGCTGAAGAGTCATCACAAACCCATGCTAAAGTTCATCCCTCAAAAACCCGGCACGTGAGGCAGAGAGCAGCCTGTCAGGAATGTCTGGTGCTCCCACCTGGAGGAGGGCTGGTGGCGGCTCTGTGGCAGTGCCTGCGGTTCCTGTGCCGCTCCTGACGGACGGACAGCGACAGGGATGTCTGTCCTTCACCTCCGAGCCCCTTGGGAGAGCCCCTCCGCGTTACGGGGAAGAAAATGACGTTCAGAAAGCCCAGAAGGCAAGAGGGAAAGTTCTCTCCCTTTTCCTGAAAAAACTCTCTGCGCCCCCGTGTGTCCTCTGCTCGCTTGCCGAGGCGGTGACCAGGAGCGGGTGACTCAAAGCCGCTCCCCCTTTTCCTGCTCACGGTCACCGCGCTGAGCGCTTGGAAACAAAGCGCCTTTCGCTTCCTCCGGCGGCCCCTTCTGACGTTCCTGAAACCCAGCGGCTCACCCGCAAGCGAGCTGAGGGCAGAAATACACGACACCTCTCCTCAGGGCACAGAGCAGGACCTTGGTGCGAGCTGCCCCAGCAGCCCCTTACCCTGCGCTGCCTTGCGCCCGCACAGCTCCGCACCCCTCAGCCCCAGCAGGCACCCCGAACACCCAACGGGCACCCCTCAGCCCCAGCAGGCACCCCGCACACCGAACAGGAACCCCGCACACCCAACAGGCACCCCGAACACCCAGCAGGCACCCCTCAGCCCCAGCAGGCACCCCTCAGCCCCAGCAGGCACCCCGCACACCCAGCAGGCACCCCGCACACCCGGCAGGCACCCCGCACACCCAGCAGGCACCCCGCACACCCAGCAGGCACCCCGCACACCGAACAGGAACCCCGCACACCCAACAGGCACCCCGAACACCCAGCAGGTACCCCTCAGCCCCGGCAGGCACCCCGCACACCCAGCAGGCACCCCGCACACCCAGCAGGCACCCCTCAGCCTGGCAGGCACCCCGAACACCCAGCAGGCACCCCTCAGCCCCAGCAGGCACCCCTCAGCCCCAGCAGGCACCCCGCACACCCAGCAGGCACCCCGCACCCCCGGCAGGCACCCCGCACACCCAGCAGGCACCCCGCACACCCAGCAGGCACCCCGCACACCGAACAGGAACCCCGCACACCCAACAGGCACCCCGAACACCCAGCAGGTACCCCTCAGCCCCGGCAGGCACCCCGCACACCCAGCAGGCACCCCGCACACCCAGCAGGCACCCCTCAGCCCCGGCAGGCACCCCGCACACCCAACAGGCACCCCGCACACCCGGCAGGCACCCTGAACACCCAGCAAGCACCCCGCACACCCAGCAGGCACCCCGCACACCCAGCAGGCACCCCGCACACCCAGCAGGCACCCCGCACACCCAGCAGGCACCCCGCACACCCAACAGGCACCCCGCACACCCAACAGGCACCCCGCACACCCGGCAGGCACCCCAAACACCCAACAGGCACCCCAAACACCCAACAGGCACCCCGCACACCCAGCAGGCACCCCGCACACCCAGCAGGCACCCCGCACACACAGCAGGCACCCCGCACACCCAGCAGGCACCCCGCACACCCAGCAGGCACCCCACACCCAGCAGGCACCCCGCACATCCAGCAGGCACCCCACACACCCAGCAGGCACCCCGCACACCCAACGGGCACCCCGCACACCCAGCAGGCACCCCGCACACCCAGCAGGCACCCCGCACACCCAACAGGCACCCCTCAGCCCCAGCAGGCACCCCGCACACCCGGCACCCATCCCACCCCGACACCCATCCCTCCCGGCCCAGCTGCTCCTCCCGGCAGGGCTCGGAGCTGCTCGGGCCGGGCCAGGGGCAGAGCCGCTGGGCTCACAGTACCCTTCAAAAGCCACTGAAGTTTCCTGGGTCACAGCATGGCAGATTTCATTTTGACATGCCTGCAGTTAAAATAAAGTCTGGTTTAAATTCCCAGATTATGGCTATGCCAGAGAATTTTCAAGCATACACACTCTAGAACTGAGTGCTCAGGGTGAGCTGGTCCCACTCAGATTTGCACCACTGAAAATCTCAAAAGCTGGAAGAGCAGGATCAGGGAGTCCTGTACAAAGGGGAGCTCAGGGAGAGCTCACACTGCTGTGGGTGCAAGAGCCACGAGTGAAGAGTTCTACAGGGTCACACAGGCTCCACCCTTCTCCCCTCACACGATGAACATAAGAACAGTTTCAGGCCACAGGAACACAAGGGCAGAGCACGCTGAATTTATTAAAATTGCCATGTCTTCCCCAAATTCGCATACAAAATACAACAGCTAAACTATTATTTACATCCAGGCAGCTGCAATATCAAACAATCACTTTAGCAATAGTTTTTAAAATAACTCTGCAGTGTGCACAGATCAGATATTTCACAACACAAGGGTCGAAGTTACCACTGCACTGCTATACTTAGTTCAGCAATATTACAGTGTTCCAGATAAAATACTCACACTTCTTTTAAAAACAGTCAATTCAGGAAGTGGTTTGTAGGTCGACAAAACACGACATGTTTTTCTTAGGGACTGAGAATCACAGCAGGCTTAGACACCATGTCATAGCTGCATTCAAAATACATCTGGTCCATTTACGCCAAAAATACATTCAGTGTAAGTTACAATTTATTGCACATTTCTTATATTCTGTAGAAATATATTGTACCTCAATGCTTATTCCCTGTACATTCATAAATATTGCTCTGCCCGTTGGAGCAGAACATGGACGCCTTTCCCTAAAAGCTTTGGGGAGCTGGGGTCGCACAGCCTGCAGGGATGATCCCTGGAATCAGAGCACAAGGGCAGAGGAGGGGACAGCAGTGCTGCTGGGGCACCCAGGAGCTGGCCCAGGGCTCCTCCAGGACACCCCCAGGACACCCCAAGGACACCCCCAGGACATCCCCAGGACACCCCAAGCTCACCCCAAGGGCTCCCCCAGGACACCGCCAGGACACCCCCAGGGCTCCCCCAGGACACCCCCAGGACACCCCCAGGACACCCCCAGGGCTTCCCCAGGACACCCCAAGGACACCCCCAGGACACCCCAGGACACCCCAGGACACCCCAAGGACACCCCCGGGACATCCTCACAGACCCAAGGACCCGTAGCGGGGTTTGAGCCGTACCCTTCACCAGCACACAAAGCCTTGTGCCTGGCCCCGTGCACCCAAGGAGGTGCCCAGCGCCGTGGCCAGAGCCCCCAGTGATCCCCTCGGCCCCAGCAGCCCCCCAGTGCCACCCTGTCCCTGTGCTGTGACACTGCCCCAGCAAAACCCCAACTCCTCCTTGCCATGAGCCAGGGCAGCCTTGAGCCCACCCCTGGCACAGGAGCTCCGGGCGACTGAGAAGAACTTGCCCTGCTCAAAGTCCAGACCCATTCTAGGGACTGGGCATACTTCTAAATTCATTTATTTATAATTCCTGAATCTCGTACCGAGCAAAGAAGTGACACAGCATTGACTAAAATTTAGGATAAAATAATAGGATTAAAATTTAAAATATTTTTTAAAAAGAAAATAAAAATTAAAATTAAAATTAAAATTAAAATCAAATAGAATTTAAATAATAGGATTATTTGTAGTGTCATATGAGGGAGTGAGCTTGATTAAGTGCAAATTATAAAAGTAGGGAAGTGCAGAGGAGATTACAGCCTGAATTTCTAAAGGAGTGTCTGGGGGCAGCAGTTCAAGTAACACAAAAGAAAATTAGGTATTACAGGAAACATTAATTGACTTTCCCTTTCAGTGCGTAATCCCTACATTAAACTTTAGATTGTAATTAGAAGCAAATTATAAAATATTGGTAACTCCCCCCAGTTAGAAGCATCAATTAGGAGAAGCTGAATGTGGTGACAGGTTTTGAGCACCCTTGACCTTGAAAATTTTCATGAGCTTAAGAACTTTTGCTTTAAGTGAAGATTATTAGGAACATTGTGACCTCTGAGGAAACCTAAACTGCACAGAAGTGTCTTGGCATAACCTCTGTGCTTAAATTAGACCAGCACAAACCCACACGGAGGGGAAAGGCCATTAAAACAAGGGTTCTTTGGGGTTTTTCTAAAGGAGTGTAGAGTTTACAAACATTTCAGAACTCAATACAACAACATCAGCCCCTTGGCTCTGTTGTGCTCAGCTCTAATCCATCAAAATGTACATTCACTTCTCAACAACAAAAGAGAAAAGAAAAGCAGAGCAGAAATACCGAGTTGGGTGAAAAGGCAGGGCAAACAGCCCATCATGTCTGATGCCAAGAGAAATGTCCAGGGAAAAGGTTAAAGCACTTCTGGGGCTGGAGCTGTGACCTGTGTGAGGAGTAGCTGAGTCTCAGCATCCTCACCCACACTTCCCAGCAGGCACCTAAAGGGTCTTCTTCAAATTACCAGGCTGGTCAACAATTTTCAGAGACTCCAGCGGGAAACTGAAAACTGAAACTCTTTCCCCACTTAAAAAAATAAATTTTGATTCTTCCTTTTTAAGATAAGGATCTTTTAAAGATAAGTTAAAAACGCCAGAACTTTGTTGAATTTCAACACAACTCATATTGCTTGCTGTGATATTATGGAAACCTGGTGAGAAATGTTAATATTCATCACCAGCCTGGTGCTGTTGCAGAATTCTGTAAGAAACCTCTGAATAGGTGGCACTGGTTTTTGTTAAAGCTTCTCCCTAATACATCAAAAGGCACTAAAAAAATGCTGCCAGTGGTTGGAAAAACATTGCTAAAAAGAAATATTTTCTCAGTTTAGGTAGAATTTCTCCTGTTCCATCACTTCTCAGCTAACAGAAAAGTGTTGCCTCTATTATTCTTCCTACTGTTAAAAGGAAAAGTTGTCCCTTGATTGATCTGTTCAATGAGCAAAAGACAGAGTAAAACAACTCAAATGTTAACCATTATATTGTATGTGAAATTGAGAGAATAAAAATAAATATTAATAGGGAACTGACTGAATGGTTTTGCTCACAGTGTACACACTTATTGGAATTTCCATATTTTCTAATTGCTTGGTTAATTATAAATATAGGGATTCAAAATGTATTTACTGACAACCACTTTTCAGATTCCTGAAAAAAAAAATTAATTAAAAATAAAAAAATCTGGGTTAATTTGGTCTTTTACTTGGTTGGAGGACAGAACACGAGGTTTCTCTCACTAACAGGCTTTAACCAACACCAGGCACTTCCAGGACGCTTGGGGTCTGACAAGGATGAAAAGCACAACAGCAGAAGGCATTTTTACACTGTCATGATGCTTTAAGCTCCTTCCCGCGGCTCACTGGTGTCTGATTTACAGAAAAAGCCGAAGCAAGTCACGGACCTGCTGTCTCAAACCCGAGCTGCGGGTGCCGAGCTGCCCGGTCCCGGTCCGGTCCCGGTCCGGTCCCGCGGCCGCCCGGGGCTGTGCCCGGGGCTGTGCCGGGCCCGGAGCGCATCAGCTGAGGTAGAGCGGGGACAAACCAGCCCCGCGGGCGGAGAGAGGCCGGCGGAACGCCTTCCCCCGCCGGCCGGCCGAGCTCTCAGGCCTTGGGGCCCTCGGGCACGCAGAGCTGCGAGATCGTCTTCTTGACGCGCAGCGCCGTGAGCCGCGCGGCGCCGCTGGAGCGCCAGCACTCCCGCATCAGCCGGGCCAGCACCCGCAGCGCCTGCGGACACGGACAGACAGGGCTGGGACACGGACAGACAGGGGCTGGGCGGGGACAGGGGACAGGGACAGACAGGGGACAGCCAGGGCTGGGGCTGGGCGGGGACAGGGACAGGGACAGACAGGGCTGGGGCGGGAGCGCTGGAGCGCCAACACTCCCGCATCAGCCGGGCCAGCACCCGCAGCGCCTGGGGACAGGGACAGACAGGGCTGGGGCAAAGAGGGGACAGGGACAGGGGACAGGGACAGACAGGGGCTGGGCGGGGACAGGGACAGGGACAGACAGGGGCTGGGGCAGAGAGGGGACAGGGACAGGGGACAGGGACAGACAGGGGCTGGGGCAAAGAGGGGACAGGGACAGACAGGGGCTGGGGCAGAGAGGGGACAGGGACAGACAGGGGCTGGGGCGGGACCGCTGGAGCGCCAACACTCCCGCATCAGCCGGGCCAGCACCCGCAGCGCCTGCGGGACAGGGGAGCGGCTGGGGCTGGGGCTGGGCGGGGACAGGGGACAGACAGGGGCTGGGGACAGAGGGGACAGGGGCTGGGACAGAGAGGGGACAGGGGACAGACAGGGGCTGGGGCAGAGAGGGGACAGGGGACGTGCGGGGTGGGACAGAGCGGGGACAGGGGACATGCGGGGTGTGGCTGGGCACTGCCCAGGGTGGGACAGAGAGGGGACAGGGCACTGCCCGGGGTGGGACAGGGCACTGCCGGGGTGGGACAGGGCACTGCCCGGGTGGGACAGAGAGGGCACAGGGCACTGGCAGGGGTTGGGGACAGAGAGAGGACCAGGTACACACAGGATGTGGGGACAGAGAGAGGACAGGGTACAGATGGGGGCTGGGGGATAGAAACAGCACCGGGTACAGACAGGGTGTGGGGACAGAAACAGGAGTGGGTACAGACAGGTGCTGGGGACAGAAACAGCACCTGGGGTACAAACAGGTCTGCAGGGGGACAGACAACAGCCAGAGATACAACCAACACCCCCTGCTTTCAAGATTTAGTATAGGGAAATAAAGTGCAGCACTCTGAAACGGTGACACAACAGCAGCAGCAGCAATTAAGGCCTGCCTTGGACAGCATTGAGCACTTGGTGCAAAGAGTTTTCTCTGTATTGATCTGAAGGAGAGCTAAACATCTGAAGCTTCTAAATTCAGGAGAAGCTGGGCATTGAGTGCCCTATTTCTCACTGAAAAGTTCTGTCTAAAATTAAACTTGAAAATATAAATAACAAAATAAAACTAGAAAAAAACCCTACAAAATAAACCTGGAACAAACTAGGAAATTGCTTTTACCTCACAGCTTTGCCACTGGTTTGGAATACTTGGTCTGAGCTTCTGTTCACAGACAACCCTCCTCATATCTTCTATGGAAGGATCAGAAGGCACAAGGTCATAGTAAGGCAACTGGTATTCCTCAGTGATTCCTGGGGAAGATTTGTGGTGTAGGTGCCCATGGCAGGGGTGGAACGAGAAGAGCTTTGCTGTCCCTTCCAACCCAAACCTGTCTGGGACTGGATGAGAGGGCCAAAGCCTCACCTCCAACAGAGCACCTCCGGGCTATCTCCCAGTACACCAGCCCCAGGGAGTAGATGTCTGCACGCTTGAAGGACTCGAAGATGCTGGTGTTCATCGCATCCTCCAGGATCTCGGGGGCCATGTACCTTTGGGGCACACAGGGGCACTTTGCTGGGCAGGCCCTACAAAAGGCCACAGCTGTGCTGCCACGTGCCAGGGCCCTGTAACCCCTGGTGGCGCTGGCAGCTGTGTCCTGCCCAGCCCGGAGCACCGGGGCTGTCGGGCTCGCCGTGCCCCACGTGGGGCAGAGAGCTCCATTCCACAGCGGGGTCAGCAGCTCCTCCCTCGCCCACCCACCCAGCCAGCCACCCTCCCCGCGGGGCTGCGGCCGCCCCTGCCCGTGCCAGGGCAGCGGGGACAGGACGTGGGTGGAGGGCAGGGCCGGAGGGGCCGTCCCACGGAGCCGGGCTGCCTGCCCTCCCACCTCCTGGTGCCCACGCGGGGGTTCTGGGGGATGTCGATGGTGTTCAGCACCGAGTCGTGCTTCACCGCCAGCCCCAGGTCGGCGATGGCGCAGGTCTCGTTCCTCTTCACCAGGATGTTCTTGGATTTCAGATCCCGGTGTGCGATCGCTGGCTTCCCTGTTCACAGCAAGAGAAACCCCCTCAAGTTTGATAACAACCAGTGGATTTCATTGTAAGGAGCAAGGATGTAAAAACAGTTTTATTCACTTTTGTTACTGTACCCTATTGAAGTACTGAGGCCTATTTCGAGCCAAGCAAAGCTCTGCTAAATGTTCTCAACTTCAAAAGAAAATTTTAAGGGCATTTTTTTCAATATCTATATTTCAGGAATAAAACACAAAGAAAGAAACTGGAAGCTCACTGTCCAAATTAGTTTAGAAAATTACAGACTCACTGGATGGATTGAGTTGGAAAAACCCTCTAAGGCCACTGAGTCCCACCATTCCCCAGCACTGACAAGGCCACCACTAACCCATTTCCCCAAGTGCCACATCCACACAACTTTTTAAGGGATGGTGACCCCACCACTGTCTGGGGCAACCTGTGCCAGGGCTGGACAAATAAAGAATTTTTTCCTAATTTTTCTTTCATTAGCGCTCACTCCCCTTCAGCAGAGCTGCTTCTATAGGCATCTCTTTAGAGGTTAAAGTGCAGACAATGGGAGCGGGAAGGGAAGGTCGCTCTTCCCTGTCTGCCTGCACCACTCTCACTCACAGTCCCCCTGGTGACAGCAGTTTGGAAAACACTCACGGTACCACGTCACCCATGAACGCTCTTGGGAGCACTGAAGCTCCTTAAAATACTTAAGGAAAAGTGGGAGGGAAGCACTTGCCTTGCGTGCCAACGATCTCCATGTGGAGGTGGGCCAGGCCGCTGGCCACCGACAGCGCCAGCCTGACCATGCCCTGCACCGTCACCGTGCCCCTGTTCAGGTAGTCGAACAGCGAGCCCTGCTCATGGTACTCGGAGACCAGCCAGAGCTGAGTCCACGTCCCATTATCTGTTCAGAGGAAGCGGGATATTAAAAATGCAAGCTGGGGAAAGTCTGTCCCTCGGTGGGGAACGCAAGCAGGGAAGTGTGGCAGCTGTGGCCCGGGAAGGAGCTCAGGGCAGCTCAGGGCCGTGTTCCCGATGGAGCGGGGGCAGCGGAAGCGGAGCTGGGACAGACCTCAGGGCTCAGTGAGTGCCATCACTGGGGCTGGGAAGCACTCCAAGACCACGGAGGCCAACCACTGCCAGCCCTGCCACGGCCACCACAGAGCGGCAGAGAGCTGTGCGGGCTGGAAGAGCTCTCCAGGAGGCTGGAGGCTGCGCACGCCGCGCTCTCACCCTTGTTGTCGGCAGCGATGAAGCCCAGGATGTTCTCGTGCCTCAGCATGACCGTCTGGTAAATCTCTGCCTCCCGGAACCAGGACCGCTCGTCTCTGGAGGAGAAGATTTTCACAGCCACATCCTCCCCGCACCACTTCCCATGCCAGACTTCGCCAAACCGTCCTTTTCCCACGATTTCCTGCAGCACGATGGTCCTGGCGATGGTTCTCTGGACCAGCAGAGGCAGCCCTGGTGAAAAGGAGAGACAGGCACCTGAGAAATGGCTCAGCTGGGACCTGCAAACCTCAGTGCCGGCCTTTCCCAGAGAGCTGCGCTCGTGGCTTTGCTTTCTGAGACTGCCGAGGGAAAATCCGCTCCCAACCAATAGCTCCTCAAATCAGAATTGTTGATATTACTTCCCAGTGTCTGTACATAGAAAAAACTTTTTTAAACTCCAGTAAAAATCTTAAAATTCGTCCCGAACTACTCTATTTGGTTTGATACAGACTGCAACTGTCCTGCAGGCAACTAGTTGCTCTACTCCAGCTGAAATTTTTGAAAATAAAAATAATTACTTATTAATAATAAATTATTGATATTAATGAATAGTAAGCACACTGTGCTTTGCCAACAACAAACCCTGCCTAGATTTATTTGATTCTGTGTTTGTAGAGGACTTAGAAAAAATAAAAAAAAAAAAAAAAGACTAATTCCCTGGGGGTTTTTTTGTTTGTTTGTTTATTTTTTAATAACTGCAACCTTGATTTTGGCTGAAGTCAGAACAAATCACCCCGGTGCATGGGGCTCTGGCTCTGCTCAAGTCCAGCCCTGTTCCTGGCTCAGGGATGGCTGTGAATAGTTAAAAACTTCAGCATAAATGAAGTCAAAGTCTGCTCATTAGAGCTGTGAAAAGGCATTAGGGAAGAACAGCAATTTAATCATCAGAGGTATGCAGCTCATGGAAATAAATTAAATTAGGCACCAGTTGTACATCTTTTACTTACAAATAAAAGCAAGCATAGTTTACATACTTTGTTCTAGTTAGGGAAAGTTGGGCTATACATCCCAGACATGTCACTGGTCAGAGGAGCTGGAATTTGTGAATTCCCACCTCATTTTTAAGTTTCTTTGGTTAAACAAGCTCTCAATAGCAATGGAGGCATCACAGTAGGCAAGATATCCGAAATGGGAAAAATGTTAAAAAGAAGAATGTTCTGCTCACAACAAGAATTTGGAGGAACGTTACTGTGCTATGAAACACAAAAAATGTCCGAAGCAGCATCCTGAGGCCCTCAGGTGAGCTGAGCACCTGTCATTATCTGCCGGCAGCGCTGGGTTCCATAGCTGGTTCTGGTTTCTGAGCGCGTTCCCTTTTTTAACGCCTCCATTCCCCCAGAGAACCAAATGTTTGTGGTTTGGCAGAGCAGGAGCGCCCAAAGCACCGCAGGGCAGGTGTCCTGATGCAGCGGCATGAACTGAACCGGCGGCGGGCAGGGCTGGGCAGGGATAGGCAGGGGTAGGCAGGGCTGGGCTGGGCTGGGCTGGGCTGGGCAGGGCTGGGCAGGGCTGGGCTGGGCAGGGCTGGGCTGGGCTGGGCTGGGCTGGGCTGGGCTGGGCTGGGCAGGGCAGGGCTGGGCTGGGCTGGGCTGGGCAGGGATAGGCAGGGCAGGGATAGGCAGGGCTGGGCAGGGCTGGGCTGGGCTGGGCTGGGCTGGGCTGGGCTGGGCAGGGATAGGCAGGGCAGGGCTGGGCAGGGCTGGGCTGGGCTGGGCAGGGCTGGGCTGAGTAGCACAGGGCAGGGCTGGGCAGGGCAGGGCAGGGCTGGGCAGGGATGGGCTGGGCTGGGCTGGGCTGGGCTGGGCTGGGCTGGGCAGGGATAAGCAGGGCTAGGCAGGGCAGGGCTGGGTAGCGCAGGGCAGCGCAGCGCAGCGCACCCACCGGAGCCGGAGCCGGAGGTCGTCATGTCGGAGATGAGATCCTTCAGCGTCTTGCCGGAGCCCAGCAGGCTGCCCTCGCAGAGCGGCTCCTCCACGTTGGGCGGCTTGGCCCCGCGGCGCCGCCGGCCCCGGGCCCTGGCCAGCAGCCCGGCCAGCAGCGCCAGGGCACACAGCGGCACCGCCACCGCCACCGCCAGCGCCGCCGGCCGCCGCCCCGCACGGCCCGCCGCCTCCGCCGCCGCTGCTGGGGACAGGACAGCCGTGACACGGGACAGCCGGGAACAGCCAGAGACAGCCATGGGACAGCCGTGACACGGGCACAGCCATGGGACAGCCAGGGGACAGCCATGGGACAGCCGTGACACGGGGAGAGCCAGGGGAGAGCCAGGGGACAGCCAGGGGACAGCCGGGACACGGGACAGCCATGGGACAGCCGGGGGACAGCCAGGGGACAGCCAGGGGACAGCCAGGGGACAGCCAGGGGACAGCCGTGACACGGGGACAGCCAGGGCACAGCCAGGGGACAGCGACAGCGACGGACTGGGGCTGCAGGGCTGGGACACAGAAGGATTCACAACATCACAGATTCACACAGGATCACACAATCACAGATTCACACAATCACAGAATCACACAGGATCACAGAATCACACAGATTCACACAATCACAGAGTCACACAGGATCATATAGCATCACAGAATCACACAGAATTCACAGCATCACACAGAATCACCAGGCTGGAAGAGACCTTCAGGATCATCGAGTCCAGCCCATCCCAAGACCTCAACTAAACCCTGGCACCCAGTGCCACATCCAGGCTTTTTAAAAACATATCCAGGGACACTGACTCCACCACCTCCTTGGGCAGCCATTCCAGAACTTTATCACCCTTTCTGTAAAGAACTTTTCCCTAATATCCAGCCTAAATTTCCCTTAGTGCAGCTTCAGGCTGTGTCCTGTGGTTCTGTCAGTGCTGCCTGGAGAAAGAGCCCAACCCCACCTGAGCACAGCCACCTTTCAGGGAGCTGCAGAGAGTGATAAGGTCACCCCTGAGTCTCCTTTTCTCCACTCGATGCTTTCCCACCATAGTCCTGGCCAGGAGACAGAGCAGACAGAGCAGAGCAGGTTTCTGTAAGTGAGGGAGCCTTTCCCCCACACCCCCTTGGTCTCAGGCCAGCATTCTGATCACCACCCCAGGAGCTCTCCAGCAAGAAGCTCTAGGAAGACACTGCTGAGGGATTCACTTCACAGGAACACAAGCATGTTTCCTTTAATGTCCCCAGTATGTGAAATAAGTTTAAAAAAAAAATCAACCAGCACTTTCCCCCCAGATAAAACAAATCAGAAATATGACCCATAAAAGAAACCTCAACACTCAGAGCCATGAGTACAAACGAGATCTCAGGGCTGCAGAAGTGTGAGAATCACGAACTCCACCCCATGCCAGGTCATTCCTTCCCTTCAGGGAGAAGCTGGGCCTCAAGCACACCTCAGCCTGGAGTTTGAGAGTGACCACAGTGATGTGGGGTCTCAAAAGCAGCAGCAAATGGGCTCAGCACCCACTGCTACCTTCCTGCAGCCAGCACCACACCAGAACAACTGTGTTCTGTTCACCAGCACAACTGCAGCCTTCCTGAACACAGAGCTGGTACACTTTGTTCACAGGTTTGTTCCTTTAATGACTTCAAGAGGCTGCTCCAGGGGTGACCCATGAGGTTTGTAAGAGGATTTATGAGCAGGATTCCTCCTTGGAACTGCTGCTTGTTTACTGACATGCTGGGATCTCCTAAACGCTTTTCATTCTGTTTCCACAGGGCTGAGGTTTCCCTGGGACAGGGATGGAGCACAGCACAGAGAGATCCCCTATCCCAGGAGCTCTGGTACCTTGCTGAACCAGCCCTGCCACCCCAGACTGTGCAGGGGATACAGTCCAGGACAGCAGGACTGGCTCTGTGCAGGGACTGGCTCTGTGCAGGGACTGGCTCTGTGCCAGCTGGGGACGGGCTCACAGCGGGTACAGAGCACAGGACATGAGCTGTCCCCTGGCTGTTCAGCAGCTCCCCTGTGCCATCCAAACCAGCACCCTCCCTGCAGGGCCTGTCAGACTCATTCCGGGTGGGAATGAGGTTCACTCCTCCCCAGCAGGGGCTGCTGAAGACAAACGCAGGAGGCTCTGACCCCACCACGTCAGCTCTTCCCACCAGCTGCTGAAAAACAACATGACGTGAACAAAATAGAAGTTTATTGTTCTTAGGCCACCGCAGTAACCAAAACTGTGACAAAAGGAAAATCATCAAGAGGTTTTGCGCAGCAAGAAGCGCTCTGTGGGGAAGGGCCCGGGCAGGGCATGCTGGCAGACCGGCCCCAGGCTCAGGGGAGATCCACCAGCCCCAGGCTCAGCAGAGATCCACCGGCCCCAGGATCAGCGGAGATCCACCAGCCCCAGGCTCAGGGGAGATCCACCAGCCCCAGGTTCAGAGGAGATCCACCAGCCCCAGGCTCAGCAGAGATCCACCAGCCCCAGGCTCAGCGGAGATCCACCAGCCCCAGGTTCAGAGGAGATCCACCAGCCCCAGGCTCAGCAGAGATCCACCAGCCCCAGGCTCAGCGGAGATCCACCAGCCCCAGGCTCAGGGGAGATCCACCAGCCCCAGGCTCAGCGGAGATCCACCGAGCCCAGGATCAGCAGAGATCCACCAGCCCCAGGCTCAGCAGAGATCCACCAGCCTCAGGGGAGATCCACCGGCCCCAGGCTCAGCAGAGATCCACCAGCCTCAGGGGAGATCCACCAGCCCCAGGCTCAGCAGAGATCCACCAGCCTCAGGGGAGATCCACCAGCCCCAGGCTCAGGGGACATCCCTGCTCCAGCAGTGACCTGCGTGCCCCAGGAGCAGCCCTGCCCGGCAGCGTGGCAGCAGCTCCAGCAGCGCTGAGGGTGCTGCACCAGTGCCCTGCACCCGTGTGCAGCACTGCACAGCAGCACTGACACTCTGCTCATTGACTGCCCAGCCAAGGGGGGAGGCTGACACCTTGCCACGGGTGACCCAAAAGCAGCACATCTGGCAGTACTCAGCACTTTCACAATGGGTTCACTTATGGTCCAGCTTCTGTAAACAAAATTGTACTTGCAGCCAGCAAAAAAAATAAATCATTTTTTCCCTCCAATGGAAAAGACATTCTCACACACAGCATTTGCTTTTGACACTGTAAAGCTTCCACTGCAAGGCTTCCAAAAGCCCTGAACTGTGTGTGTTCCCAGGCTACTCAGGGGGCAAAATTATATATTCTTTCCAGTGTAGTAAGAAAATCTATTGCATTCTATTAATGGGGAGGCTCTAGTCAGCTCAACAGTATACTTAAAACCTTTTCAAAAATACAGTTTGGGCTAGGGTCTAAAATTAAGTTTCTCCAGCTTCCACTGTGACTACAGACTCCACTCACCATTGTGGGGGAGGCAGAGATCACAAACTCTGTCTCCCAGATCTCAAATATGGCCCAAAAATCCTGTGAGACACAAATCTACAGCTGTAAAAATCTAGGTCTGATTAGCAGCTACTCAAGGCAGCCTGTTCCACGCTGAGGGCACAGTGGTGAGCTCTGCAGAGAAAACGAGAAGGAGGGATGTACGAGGGGTGGTTTATCATGGGGAGGTCCCTCAAGGCAGCAGCACTCAAGGTGTTTCCTGCAGCCCTGCTGTGACAGGAGAGGCTGATCTCAAGTCACCTGCTGGGGTAGAAAGCATCCCAGCTAAACCAGCAGAAACCTGGAGAGGAATCCAGGGTGACAGAAAAAAAACACAATTTCTGCCAACTCATCCTTCACTTCGACATTTCCACCTGCTAGTGCAATGTGCCACAATGAAATCCCTGCCCACAAGAAGTGGGATATAAAAGCAGAGATACAGGTTTAATCCATCTTTAAAGATTTTCAGACACTGGGAAAAAAAAAAAAAAAAAAAAAAAAAAGGAAGAAAAAAACCCCAAAAAACCTGAATGGAAAAGTCAGCTCCTGTCACAGGCATTGCCATCCGCAGCTCGGGCACCAAACCAAAGCACACACTGCCCTCAGAGATCCTCTCCCTGCTCTCCAGGCACTCCTTTACAGCACCAAGCTGTGCCAACTGCAGTCACAGCATCCCACGAGGGTTTGGGTTGGGAGGGACCTTACACCTCAGCTGGTTCCAAGCCCCTGCCACGGGCAGGGACACTTTCCATCAGCCCAGGCTGCTCCCAGCCTCACCCAGCCTTTGAGCTGGGGCAGGCCAGCTCTGGGAGAGGAGTGGGAGCTGCTGCAATTCCCACTGACACTGCACTGCTGCAATTCCCACTGACACTGCAACCACACTGCACTGCTGCAATTCCCACTGCCACAGGAGCCACACTGCACTCCTGCAATTCCCACTGACACAGGAGCCACACTGCACTGCTGCAATTCCCACTGACACAGGAGCCGTGGTGCACTGCTGCAATTCCCACTGACACAGAAGCCACACTGCACTCCTGCAATTCCCACTGACACAAGCTCCCCTGAACCTCCAGAGCAAAGGGCTCAGGGTAAGAATTCAGTCCTTTTTTTTGAGGACCGAAATATGAAACTAGAGGTTTTGCAAGTCCCAGCTCAAGTGCTGGAACAGCAGATGTGCCTCTGCTGCTCCTCCAGAAATAGCAGCTTTCTTCCCAACTTGGAAAAACCACCATGGCATTTCATTTCTAGAGCATGACTACAATTAGTGTGTCCCTTCTGTGGTCAGCTGAAAGAAAAACAATGTCCTGGAGTGACTTGGTGATGCTTCTATCGCCAGTTGTCTGTGGAGACACAAGCATCATGCAAATTATCCTTAGCACCAATCAAATAATCCTGATTCCTGCCCCACGGCACAGGTGAGGTGGGGACCAGGGTTCACCAGGAGGTGACAGTGCCCAAGGCTCCCACAGCAGCTCCCCCATGGTCTGCCCAGCAACAGCCTTTCAAATTCCATTAAGAACTACATCTTAATTTGCATCTTAAATTCAAGTTACAATCCTAAATTGTGAATTAATTTGCAGCTTTCTTACCTGCAACATATCTCACTGTTGTTAGTATATAAAAACAAATTATCCGATAGAATAGTATATTTTTCACCTTTTTTTTAAAAAAGCCTAGAATAAACACAAATCTTGAAAAGAAGAACAAAAAAAAATTTAAACCAAAATTATGCTAAAAATAGTATTAATATTTATTTGTAGAAAGCACCAAATCAACTTCATTACAGAACTTCGTGCCTGGCAGGTTCACACCCCGCAGCAGCTGGGTACCACACAGGGCTCCACTAGCACTGTCAGTGCCAGCCTCTTTCCCCCTCTCATTAGCACCAGGAATCTCACAGCTTCCCATCCCTGCCAAGCAGGGCTCGGTGACACTGGCGTGACAGCATGGACCAGCTGCCTGACAGGCTGCTCACCCAACCACGGCCCCAGGGTCCGACTGCCGAACCTGCCTCAGCGAGAGGGGTCCCGGCAGTGCCCTGGGGTCACCCACCACTCCTGCCCCACGAGAACCCTGTGCCCGCAGGACAGCAAATCCAGCCTTTGGGATACCCTCAGTTCCCACAGGACAGTGAAGCCAGCCTTTGGGATACCCTCAGTTCCCACAGGACAGTGAAGCCAGCCTTTGGGATACCCTCAGCGCCCTCAGGACAGCTAATCCAGCCTTTGGGATACCCTCAGTGCCTGCAGGACAGGGAAACCAGCCTTTGGGATACCCTCAGTGCCTGCAGGACAGCGAATCCAGCCTTTGGGAGACTCTCAGCGCCCACAGGACAGCGAAGCCAGCCTTTGGGATACCCTCAGTTCCCACAGGACAGGGAAGCCAGCCTTTGGGATACCCTCAGTGCCCGCAGGACAGCAAAACCAGCCTTTGGGAGACCCTCAGTGCCCTCAGGACAGCGAAGCCAGCCTTTGGGATACCCTCAGTGCCTGCAGAACAGAAAAACCAGCTTTTGGGATACCCTCAGTGCCCGCAGGACAGCGAAGCCAGCCTTTGGGATACCCTCAGTGCCCGCAGGACAGCGAAGCCAGCCTTTGGGATACCCTCAGTGCCTGCAGAACAGTGAAGCCAGCCTTTGGGAGACCCTCAGAAATGCAGGAACTCCCTGTGCAGCGGGCAGAGCTGCAGTTTGGGACACAACCCACAGCGGGCCCAGCCGGCCCCGAGCCCCGGGCAGGCTCCCCCAGGCCGCAGCCCCAGCGGGCCGGGCCTGTGCTGGCCGGCGGCACTCACCGAGCGGCACTCACCGAGTGGCACTCACTCACCGAGTGGCACTCACTCACCGAGCGGCACTCACCGGGCGGCACTCACTCACCGAGCGGCACTCACTCACCGGGCGGCACTCACCGAGCGGCACTCACTCACCGAGCTGCACTCACCGAGCGGCACTCACTCACCGAGCGGCACTCACCGAGCGGCACTCACTCACCGAGCGGCACTCACTCACCAAGCGGCACTCACTCACCGAGCGGCACTCACTCACCGAGCGGCACTCACCGAGCGGCACTCACTCACCGAGCGGCACTCACTCACCGAGCGGCACTCACTCACCGAGCGGCACTCACTCACCGAGCTGCACTCACCGAGCGGCACTCACTCACCGAGCGGCACTCACCGAGCGGCACTCACTCACCGAGCGGCACTCACTCACCGAGCGGCACTCACCGAGCGGCACTCACTCACCGAGCGGCACTCACTCACCGAGCGGCACTCACTCACCGAGCGGCACTCACTCACCGAGCTGCACTCACCGAGCGGCACTCACTCACCGAGCGGCACTCACCGAGCGGCACTCACTCACCGAGCGGCACTCACTCACCGAGCTGCACTCACCCACCGAGCGGCACTCACTCACCGAGCTGCACTCACCCACCGAGCGGCACTCACTCACCAAGCGGCACTCACTCACCGAGCTGCACTCACCGAGCAGCACTCACTCACCGAGCTGCACTCACCGAGCGGCACTCACTCACCAAGCGGCACTCACTCACCGAGCGGCACTCACTCACCGAGCGGCACTCACCGAGCAGCACTCACTCACCGAGCGGCACTCACCGAGCGGCACTCACTCACCGAGCGGCACTCACTCACCGAGCGGCACTCACTCACCGGGCGGCACTCACTCACCGAGCGGCACTCACTCACCGAGCGGCACTCACTCACCGAGCGGCACTCACTCACCGAGCGGCACTCACTCACCAAGCGGCACTCACTCACCGAGCGGCACTCACTCACTGAGCAGCACTCACCGAGCGGCACTCACTCACCGAGCGGCACTCACCGAGCGGCAGCCGCAGCGTGATGTTGTTGCAGAAGTCGGTGTAGCAGCACTCGGTCTTGGTGACGTTCTTGGAGCTGTGGCAGAAGACCTGGGCGTTGAGCTCGGGCAGGGACACGCAGGACTTGACCACCTCCTCGCGCCCGTTGGCCAGCATGACCGAGGCCCAGCAGGCGCCCTCCGTCTGGCAGGTGAAGTTGGTGTGCTCGCACAGCTGGCACACGCACTGCAGGCCTGAAAGCAGGGCACGGCCGTGGGCACAGGGCTGGCACGCAGAGCCAGGGCACCGTGCCGCCCGGCTGGCCAGGGCACCGTGCGAGCTCTGGCACAGCGCTGGGATCGGGGTCTGGACCGCAGCACGAGCCAGCCCAGGACACCCCCAACAGCACCGGTCCCCAGCCCAGGACACCCCCAACAGCACGGGTCCCCAGCCCAGGACACCCCCAACAGCACGGGTCCCCAGCAACCACACGTGACAAGTGTTTAAATCTCAGTCCCGGGGGATTTCATAGACACCATCTGTCTTCTGTGGTGGACAAGACTGGCCACCCAAAAAGCCGTTCCCCTGAAAGCTGGCTCCCAAAACCACGGCACCCCTTGCCCATCCAGCCTCCTGCCCACAGCAGCCACCCCAGCTGTGCCAGAGCTGGCTGGGTGACAGCACAGAGCCAGGTCACCGACACACAGAACCCCAGCACAGACACGGGCACAGGGACAGACTCCTCTGCCTCCTCCTCCTCCCCAGTCTCCCGAGGTGAGGCCCCTTGTCCAGGCTGCCCTTCCTGGGCCAGCTCAGCTCCAACTCTGCCAGACGGAGCCCTGCTCTACTCAGGGCAGTAATTTCAGCCATACATCTTTCTGTTTCTTTTGGAATTGTGGGGGACAGGGTCTTTCTTTCATTTAAGGGTAAGAGAGAGTTGAAAAGTAGAATACAGTTAGTGGCAGGCTTGTCAGTGCTGGGCTCAGCGATCTTAGAGGGGTTTTCCAGCCTAAACCATTCCAGGGATCTGCAACCCCAGGGTCCCCGGGGGAGTGCAGAAGTCCTGACAGATATCAGCACAAGTCTGATTTCTGTTTCTGTGACACTCTTTGCTTCCCTTACAACAATCCCCACCCTGTGCCACCCTTCCCAAATGACAGCTGGGGTGTTTATCTCCAGCTCGGGCCCATAACAAACTTCCTTGGCACGGCGTGTCCGTGTCTGTGCGGGGCGTGCCAGGAGCTGCTCCTCGGCTCTCCCTCGGCACAGGGGCTGGCACCATCTATCACACACAGCACAACAGCCAAATCTCTCCTTAAAGACATTACCCTGGTCCTAAAGCTGCTGCCAGGAGCAAGACTCATCAGACCCAAATAAATTAGAGAGCTAGCAGAAGGAAAACAGACACATCATCACCAAAAGTGCAAAATAAAAGCATTATTGAGGAAATGAGTCTAAGATTGTTGTAAGTGTCTTAGGGGCTTTAGACACGTCATTATGGTGTTTTTCTCCCTTTCTCACAGCCTAAAAATAAGATGGAAAATTATCTTTATTACATCATCTGCAGTGGATAACTGACAGATTTATCCATGCTCTGTACTTGCAGATTACTTGAGAGCAGAGCTGATCAAAACTGTCCCTGCACATCCCGAGCAGCCCCAGGGGCCCCTGCGAGCCCCACAGACATGGGGTGAGTTGAGGATGGCTGGGGAGCTCCGACCCTCACCCTGGCCACACTGAGACAGCCACTGCCACAACGACAAGGGCTCTGCACCACCAAAACCTGCCCTCCTGTAGGGGGCAAAGATGGAAAACTGCAGCTGAATCTGTTCAGAGACACGATCAGAGCTGGAGTCGTGGGAAAGACAAGACACCTTCCTCACAGAAGACTTTCACAGACCACTTTTAAGTATAATTCTACAAAAGCAGAAGCCTCGGGTTCCTCAGAGAGCTGCCTGTGCTGCTGGCTGAATTCTCATGTAGAAAAACTGATAGAAATCACAAACCAGGTACAAATCCCTGACCCTGTTTCCAAGAGCATTTGTGTCCATCCAGAACTCTTTGTTAACAGAGCAGAAGGATGATTGAATACAACCATAAAAATACAGGTTTCTTGCACCTGTGCTACTCCAGCTGCCTCAGCTCTTGTGGAATCAGGGGAGGATCCTGGGCCCTTTGGAACATGCCCTTGGGAAGATCCAGGTGTTTCCCACTGCCACCCCACCGAGCAGGGGGTGACAAACCCGGTGTCACAGCCCCGCTGTGCCCCACACAGCTCCTCACAGACACCTGTGCGACCCCTCCTGCTCCAAGGAGCCCGTGTCCCCAGCCCTGCTGACATCCTCAGGGACACAGCACGCACCAGAGGTCGTGCTTTGTCTGTTCTGCTCCATCAGGAGAGCCCCAGTGCTGCTCCTGGTTATTCACAGCCCCTTCCATCAGAGAGAACTGGCCAGGTCAGTTCTATAACCAGCCCACCTATAACCACTGGCAGTGTATCCCAAGTTTCACACCACACATCTAATTTGATCTAATTAGAGCATATCTCCTCTAATTTTCCCCTGCTGCTGTCCCAGAGGAGCCAGCAAAGCATTGCCCTCAGCTTACAGCACAACGATGGGAGATCTTCCTCTCGCTGTCCAAGCCAGCAGCACCTCTGACCTGCTTCCCTCCCACAGAGCCATTTTACAGCACAGGAGAAGAGGAAGACTTTGCAACCATTGACTGAAATCCTATATGTTTCCTCCCTCCCCAAACCCATTCCTGAGGACGGTCTTGGCAATGCTCTTGGTGGTGCTCTGTCTCAGGGCAAAAGTCAGGACTCCCACCACCCTGGAACCAAGGAATGGAATAAGGCGGCTGTCAAAGAGTTAAAAGGATCAAAGAGGCAGGCAGAAAATGTGCTCCCAAACTTTCAAAACAAGGCACTCTTTAATCTGGTATTGAACAGGACTCCTTTATTTACTCTAGCACAAAAATTCCCTTAAAACATTCCATTCTCTGCTTGAGAAATTAGGAGAAAGTGAACGACTGAAACACTCCATGGCTGCAGAGAGCGTGCCAGGCATCCAGACCTGGCCCCAACAGTGCCAGCTCTCTGGGCATGGAGCTCTGCAGCAGGCACTCCCAAATGTGCCCCAACCCTCCCCAGAGCCCATCACCCCATCCCAGGGGGACCTGGGCTGGAGAGCTGCGCCAGGAGGGCAGAGCAGGGCAGGGCTGGGACCCCAGAGGCTCCCTCCAGCAGGGACAGGAGCCTTGGACAGCCCGAGGGACGGAGGGTCCCTCCCAGGGCAGGGCTCAGACCCCAGAGGCTCCCTCCAGCAGGGACAGCAGCCTTGGACAGCCCAAGGGATGGAGGGTCCCTCCCAGGGCAGCTGGCACTCACTCACAGGGCCCACAACTACAGCAGAAGGCACGAGCCGGCTGAGGGCACAGGAGATGCACGCTCTGGCCGAGGGCACAGGAGATACACGCTCTGGCACACGGGGAAAGCAGATTTTGGGTACAGACGCCCCAGGAGCAGAGGTTTCCTGGGTTTTTAACACATACATGGTTTTCAAGGACAATTTCCTGCTGTTATTGCAATAGGAGCTGGGACTACACACCGGATCCTTGGATGAGTCCCACCATGCATCGAGGGAAGGATGGCTTGGTGCTCAGAGAAGAAAATAATCTCCCCTAAAAAGTGACACTTGCTGCCTTTTAGTTTTCAGTGCCATTGCCAGAAAACACCCAGGACAGGCAGACACGGCACGCAGTGAGCTAAGAGCAGCAGGAACAGAGCCAGCACCTGATTCCCAGCAAACCCAGGAGAAGGTTTCTGTGTGCTTCCAGCCCTTGGCCAGCAAGGGTCAGCACCAAGCACACGAATCACCAGATAACTGAGGAGCCAGTGTGACACCACACGGGAACAGGGGACAGAAGAGCAGGAGTTCAAACACCAGCTTCATGAAAACAACGAATAATTTCAATACACTGATAGACAGTGCAGCTTCAAAAGTTAAATGGAAGGAACTGAGCACTTAACACAAGCCCACTGATACCACGGGGCTAACAGAATTTAACTAAAAACTCTGGGGGAGCACAGCCCAGACCTGCCCTCTCTTATGAACCACACAAGGTTCTACACCTCAGCACAGACTTTTTACTACACAGATTAACAGAGCATTAATCTTCCACTAAATCATAATCCATCACTACTCACCATAGCTACCAGTAGAGCATTTCAAAATTAAATTGGAAAGCAAAGATCTAAGTGGCCTGATGGGAAGAAATGCTGAATATTCAGAACATTTCCATCTTTGATCATTCTGTACGGTCATTGTCTATTGTGCCCTTCTAGATACACTTTGATTTTATTTCCAAATAACAGACCTGGGGCTCCCATGACTGTGGGCTCTCCACACGGCCTGGATCCCCTGCCTCAGGCACAGACCCCAGCGCCAGGGCACAGCTGCCCCTGGCCACCTCCATCCTGGGCAAGGGACAGAGCCACGCTGCAGGAACACACCTGGACCTGGCTGAGCTCAGAAGGGTCCCAGCTGACAGAGGATTTCCTGTGGGATGAAGGGGCTCAAAGGAGATCCTAAAGATTACAGCCTGGCTGTTTCCCATTGCCAGCCCCTTGCTGGTGACGGAGCCAGGACAAAATCCAGAGGAGGTCCATGGGTCTGGCACAGCCCCTTTTTCCCCAGCTGCTGGGAACTGAGCACGGCACAGAAACTCTGCTGGCAGCAGGCAGAGCCACCCTGCTCTCAGCAGGCAGAGCCACCCTGCTCTCGGCAGGCAGAGCCACCCTGCTCTCAGCGGGCAGAGCCACCCTGCTCTCAGCAGGCAGAGCCACCCTGCTCTCAGCGGGCAGAGCCACCCTGCTCTCAGCGGGCAGAGCCACCCTGCTCTCAGCAGGCAGAGCCACCCTGCTCTCAGCACCAGCCCGGTCGGTTCTCTGGCAGGAGAGCAGCAGCAGCTCTGCTGTGGCCCAGGGGCTGAGCGCCCCGGAGCTCACGGGGGGAGCCGAGGGGGTGACAGGGGCTGCTCAAGGCACAAGCAGGACTGACTTCAGAGCATTGCAAAACCGCCTCACCGTGGAGTCCCAGAGCTGCTTGGGCTGGAGAGGCCCCCTGAGACCGAGCCCAGCTGCTCCTCCATCACTAACCCGAGCCCCAGGTGCCGCACGCACACGGCTCCAGGTCCCTCCAGGGATGGGGACTCTGCCACTGCCCCGTGCTGAGGGACCGACAGCCAGGGGACAGACACACCGCACAGAGGGACAAACAGCCCCAGCTGTGCCCGAGCAGGGACAGCACACTCCCACCCCACTGGGAACAGAGGGCTGTGCCCCCGGGGAGTGCTGGGCAGCTGCTCAGCTCGTGGGGAGAGCACAGGCAGGAGAAGATGCAGCCCTGCTCTGCCATGGGGGATCAGGTGCTGCCACCCACCTCAAAAAGGCACAGGAGCAGTAGGAAGAGTTTCAGGACAGACAGCAAGGGATTAAGAAACGGAGCTGTCATGTCAAAGGCAGTTCTGGAGAGGTGTGAGGGTTCTCTGCAGAAATCACAGATCACTCAGAAGATGAAAGGGGTCAGGTACTCACCACTTCACATGTACCCAAAAGCTCTGGGCAGCCCGGGTGTCCCAGGAGCACTCTTCCATGGAGCAGGAGGAAGCTCTCTCCTCTCCCTCCCCTTCAGGCAGCCTCACCACCCTCCCTGGCAGCCCTGGGCGCCCGTGCCAGTGCCACTGCCAGGGCAGAGCACGGGTGTATGCAGCCAGCACAGCCCATCCACCTGTGCCTGCTGGGGACTCTCAGAGCTGCCACAGGCGATGACAGAGGCAGCAGCGCCCAGCCCAGAGCCCCCAGCCAGCACAGCCCATCCACCCGTGCCTGCTGGGGACTCCCAGAGCTGCCACAGGCGATGACAGAGGCAGCAGCGCCCAGCCCAGAGCCCCGAGCTGCTGAGTGCCCCATCCTCCCCCACAGCAGCTGCTGCAGTGCCAGCGGTGCCCGGGCATGCCGAGGCCACCCCTCAGCACAGCGGGGACGGCTCCAGCCCCAGCCAGGGAAGGGACAAATTTATTCTCTTCTAACACATTTCTTCAGGAGGCAAAAGCAGAATTTCGAGCAATGACAGGTCTTAAAAAACCAAACCTGCTTTTTGGACTATTATGAAAAATATGGAGAAGTTCCCCCTCTGGAGAGGGCTCTGAAAGAAAATAGTTGGAGGAAAAGCTCCCTACATAAATACACTGTAAGAAGGGCTGATACCAAACAGGACAAAAACTAGAAAGTTGTAGAAAAGAGAGGAAAAGTATTTGTTCTAGAATTGAGGAGAAAATGTCTTTGAATGAGAGACATCACAGAGTTCCAGAGGTTTGATTTCTTAAATAAACATCTGGGGAATTATTTTATAAATATTTGCAAGTATCATCATTTTGGAAGGAGGATACTGAATGCTCAGAATTCCCATTCTGGAAAAGCTCAGCAGCCAAGGCAAAATCCAGCAGGCAGGAGCTGGGTCCAGGCATTGAAATTAATATTAACAGGTATGGGAAAGGGCTACAACACCCAGGGAAATGACTTCTGGTGGAATAAGCTGCCAAAGGACATTTTTAGGTTTGAGCAGGAGAGGTATCCTTGGGAAGGCAGTGTTTTATGGGACACAAGTGACACAGCAGAGTACTGTGAGTGCAAGGATTTTGTGCCACGCAGCACATGCACAGAGCTGAAGGAGAAGCTGCTGGTCCCAGCCTGTGAGGGGCTGAGGGCAGGCCCAGGGCTGTGGGTACAAATTCCATGGGGAGGCAGCTGAGATAACCCAGGGCTGACAGCACCGATCCACTGCAAGGCTGGAATCGCTTGCACAAGAGAGTCCCCAGCACTGAAAACTCCTAAAGTCACACCTGAGTGGTCTGACAAGGAATTTTCCATCCAGACAGTCACACTGCCTGTCCCCTCTATTGCCACACACCTGCCTGCCTGCTCTGTGCACAGCCCCAGGCCTGAGCCAGGCTATAGACTGGAGAGGAGAAGAGGACCCTGCCCTGCACCCGTGGAGAGCAGAGAAATGCAAGACTTTGATACACAAAACAGTCAAATCCAGCGTGACTCCATAGTGCTCTGGATGCTCTCCAGAGGGAAGTGGTGACAGCCACGGCATTGCAATGCTCCGTTTAACCCGGGCACACCGGGCAGCAAGGGCTGTCCCTGGGGTCACTCCCAAACGCAGCAGACCTCCAGAGAAATAAGGAGAGCCCATACGGAGCAGGTTTTACATCCTATGGAGGTACCAGAGACTACCAGGTGTGCACCAGTACACAGAAGCACTTCACAGCCCAGAGCTGAGCTCTGTTCCTCCTCCCTGCCCAAAAGCAGGGACCCGTGAGCAGCTGGATGGGCGCTGGCAGGGCACGGTCCTTCCCCGCGCCTGGGGCTGGGACCTCCCCTCTCTGCAAGGTCCTAACGAGCACCACGCAAGGAAACTGCTCCGGAGAAAACACGGAGAGAAAGGTAAAATCCAGCCAACCTAACAGGAAAACTGTGAAGTATTCTGTGGTGCGCTGCCTTGCTTACCGCTGGTTTGCAGAGCGCTGCTGGAGAGCGCGGGGTTAGGCTTTAAAGGGACGGCTGAGGGAGGGAGCGGCTCCCATCACCGGCCGCCTGAGAGAGGAGCCTGTGCGGAAGGACCCGGACACCTCCGGTGGGGCACGGGCACCGCAGGGCGCTGCGACAGGTCCTCCTGTCACCGCACCGGGGCCGCTCCGTCCGAGCATCTGCCTCCGAGCGGGTCCCCGGCGCCGCCGGAGCCCCGGGGTGGATCCGCCCGGGATGGCGTGGGAAGCCCCAGGGATCAGGGATTCGGCTCCGGTAAGTCCCCGCTGACCCAGTTCTCGGTACGCGCGGCCGGATTAAAGGCACCGAGAGCCCGAGCCCCCCGAACGGCGTCGGGCGCACGGCCGGGATGGATAAGCGGGGTTCTAGCGCAGCGCCCCGACCACCGCGCTCCCGGAGCTCCCGGTGCCGCTCCCGGTGCCGCTCCCGGTGCCTCTCCCGGTGCCGCTCCCGGTGCCGCTCCCGGAGCTCCCGGAGACGCCGTACCTGCGCAAAGGGACACGGCGGCGCCCAGCAGCGGCAGCGCCGCTCGCAGCGCGGAGCCGGGCGCGCCCCGCATGGCCCCGGGGCCGGTGTCGCTCCGGTGCCGGTGCCGCTCCCGGGCCGGTGCCGCTCCCGGGCCGGTGCCGGTGTCGCTCCCGGGCCGGTGCCGCTCCGGGGCCGGTGCCGCTCCCGGGCCGGTGTCGGTGTCGCGCCGGGGCCGGTGCCGCTCCCGGGCCGGTGCCGCTCCGGGGCAGGTGTCGCTCCCGGGCCGGTGCCGCTCCCGGGCCGGTGCCGCTCCGGGGCAGGTGTCGCTCCCGGGCCGGTGCCGGTGCCGCTCCCCCGCCGGTGCCGCTCACCGGCCCCGCCGCCCGCGGCTTTAGCGGCTTTAGCGGGGAGGGGCCCGGGCCGGCCCCGCCCGACCCCCGCCCCGCTCTGCCCCCGCTCCCGGGCCGGGGTCGGGCTCGGCTCTGCCGCCCCTCGGGGCAGCCCCGGGCGCTGGGGCGGACAGGGACGGCGAGGGGCGCCCGGCCCCGCTCCGCTCGGTGCGGCTCCCGGGGCTCGTTCGGGCTCCGCCGCAGCCGCGCTGCCCTCGGGGCTCCTGCCCGCAGAGGTGCGCAAAACCGGCCCCGGGACAAGCACGGGTTTAATCTTGGGAGTTCTGCCGAATCCCCATCAGTGCCTTTTGGCACCTGCCCCGGGACTTCTCCATCAGCCTGCACCGAATCACCCACGAACAGCGGCGTGTTGAACAGTTTGCAGTGTTTCTGCAATATCTGAATGCTTTAAACTAAAAGAGATTTAGACGTTAGTAAGAAAAGCACTGGCACAAGTTGCCCAGAGAAGCTGTGGCTGCTCCATCCCTGGAAGTGTTCCAGGACAGGCTGACCAGGGCTTGGAGCACCCCGGATAGTGGGAAGTGTTCCTGCCCATGACTAGAGGTGGCACTGGACAAGCTTTAAGGTCCCTTCCAACTATTCTAGGATTCAGTGATTACACCTTCACAAGCAAAAATCATCTGACTAAATCCTTTTTTCCAAGAAAACAAATTGCCCTCCACCACGGTACAGACACAGCAGAAATGAAACCCAAGTATTGGGATCAAGTGGCTGTTAAACAGCACCAGAAAAAGCTGCTCTTGTACATTTTTCTTTTTAAAATTGTCATTCAAATAGATCCCAGGAAAACACTGAGGACTTCCATGTCACCCCACCCTCAATTAATTGTGATGGGAATTGCACAGCACAGAATTATTCTGCTTTTCCATATAAAGGAAGTCATAAAAGTAGGAATAATGTAATTAGTTTTTCTTCAGTTTAAGAAAGAAAATGTACAGAACATGTTTACCCACACTTTGCAGAAGTGATGAAAATATAATCTCCTGCACTTGTAAAGAAGGAGAATCAAAGCATTTAGAAAATGTAATATGTGTATACTCAGGTACCTGAAGGTCTGGATCCTGATTATCCATCATCACTGAGCTTTTACCCTCTGCCTGATCTTCCTCAGGCCTTTGACACAACAAACACCAGCAGAAACCAAAAGAACAAGACAAGGGATGGGAGGGGAAAACACACCAGGCTTTGAGGCTGTTGTGAGACAAATTCTCCCCAGTTTAGCTGCTTGCATGGCATGGCTCATGGGGGACAGGAACAGCCTGTCCTGGGAATTTAGGATTCTTTGGAAATAGGTACCAGCAGATAAACTTCTGCTGACTGGAAGCACTTAGAGAATGGGCTAAAAGCCAAGAATCTTGTTTTGTAATTCATTTTGCTCCACATCAGGACAAAACCAAGATCTACTGAAATTTGGTGCAAGAAAAACCAAAGGGAATCCACAAACACCCTGGCACGGGCAGCGGGTCAGCAGCTCCCCCTCCCCTTGGTCCTCTGCCTCCCACATCAGTGTCCTGGCTACAGAGCAGCCCTGCACTCGCTTAGTCCCACTCTTTTCATCCAGAAATGTCAAAAAACCATAAAAAATTCTGATCAGGATGATACATTATTGCAAAAGCATTATATTGTTGACTGTGGCAATTAGCACAAGAGGTGAAAAATTCCCAAACATTTTATAATTCCAAGAAACATTTTATAATTCTTTAGTCACTCCCTCCCCAGATGCTGCTTCCTGTGGCTCTGAAATCGAGCACACAGTAAAATCTCCTGAGGACACATCACTGAGTGGGGGGCCTTCTGATGAGGAGGTAGCAATGGAACTGCTTGGAGTATTTGAGCATCAGGCACAAGAAGTGTCCAAAGAGCGAGCATTAGTGCAGTTAAGAAGTTATTTCATCATGGAATGGGTTGGGTTGGAAGGACCTTAAGGCCCAGCCTGTTCCACCCCCTGTCCTGGGCAGGGACAGCTCCCCCTGTGCCAGGGTGCTCCAAGGCCGTGTCCAGCCCAGCCTGGCACACTGGCAGGGATCAGGGGCATTCTTTCTACCTGAGCCCAACCCACCACATTTCCAAAGGGAAACCTGCAGTGGCGCAGTGTGGAACCATCTCCCAGGGGAGTGAGAGGAGATTTGCCAGAAGCAGCAACAGGGAAACTGAACCATCCACCTGTAATGGCTGCAGCGGCCAAAGCACCGAGTGGGAATAAGGGAGAGGGCCAGAGCCCTTTTCCTAAAGGTTTAATGTGCATTCAAGATCCTCATAAAACAGAGCAAAAGATACTGAGACCATGGAGCTGTGTCACATTTCTCATGCAATTTTTTTTAAGTGCTTGCAGAGGAGACACAGTTGCAGGTTCTCTCACTTCAGCAAACAATTAGAAAGAGCAAAATACCTTGTTTATTTACTGGTATCAGTGTCCTTTCTCCCAGGGAAGAGAGGCTGTCTCGTGTTTTAGATTCCCACAGAATCTCATTACAAGAGAGCTGTCAGAGTGACTGTGCCCTGCCGGGAGCGTGTTCCCAGGGAAAGCTGAAACAACCGAGGCACCTCTGGCCCCGGCACCGACCCGGGCTGAGGCACGGCCAGGGCTGGAGCCGGGGCAGGAGCAGCACTGCCTGGGCTCCTCGGGGCTCCCCCAGCTCCTGGCCAGCTCCAGCTGAACTGAGCCCCCTGCACCGCTGGTCCCGCACAAGGAAACAGCCAAACCAGCATAACTTCCATTTTAAGGCTCCAGGTTTTCCAGAACATTCCAAGAATGGAAAGAGATCCATGTTGTGAATCTGAAATACCTATGAAACTTGGGAAGAGGATTTTTGGGTGGCGAAAATTGGAGAAAACTGCTGCAGAGGTCCATGGGGGAGGAAACGGGGGCGATGCAAAGTCCTTGACTCCAGCCAGCAGCACGCTAAGGGTGTCATCATCTTTTAAGATCCAAAGAGCAAGCTGACTGCAAATTTTAATGTCTTAAAAAAAAAATCCCTGGCCTTGCTAGGTATGATTTCCTTCTGGCACAGTTTTTCAGAGTTGACACACAGCTTATCTCTGAGCTTGAACAGAAGAACAATACACAGGGATATGAGGAAGGTGTGCCTGGCCTTTTCCATGCCATGAAAGCCAGCAAAAACACCCAAAAAAACCTTTTAAAAAAATCTCTCCACGATACCCACAGGAAGAAGGAAAAATTCAGGTGTTGAAGCTGAACACAGCATCAGCTTTTCATTTTTTGAGAGGAAAAGATTTTAGCACAGAAACCAAGACCTGGACTTGCTGACACTGATGCCAGCATCCAAATGCTGTTGATTTGAGGAGATCAGGGTAGTCTCGTGACAGCAGAAGTGGACAGTCACTGCACTGGGAAAGGTGGTCAGTGTTTAGATGGGGGCTGCATTTGGAGACAAATTATTAATTACTGCTGTTAGATAATTTTTAAAACCCACCTCAGAGGTTCAGACCTGGGAGAGCAGAGCTCCAAGGAAAGGACGGGAGCCCCAGGGCTGTGCTCTGGGTTTTGACACAGCACTGGATGTCACAGGGCAGCCACTGTGGTGCCGAGAGGGACACTGGGCTGTGTTTTTAATAAAACCCAACAGACCGTGGGCCAGGCACTGAAGGGTGGTGGGATTTTTCCTTCTGACTGGGAATGTAAAGCCCAGGTGCTATTTCCAGGTGAGAGCATCTGTAGCAGTAGCTCAGTAGCTCGACATTGGATGAAACACTTACTTTTCCCACACAAACTTATCTTGTAAATGTATGCTGTGTTTGAGACTCTCTCTCTATAAATGGAACAGCACCTGGAATGTCTTTGCTTCCTTTCTCCAGCGCCAGCCACTGTGCCAAGGCTGAGCATTTTGTACAGCAGACATTTTGCTCGCAGGGAAGAGAATTGTCCCTACCGAAACAGTTTAATTCAGGTAAATAAAATTCTTTAAGGCTTCCTATGGGTTTTCGATGGACAATTCCAGCCCAGAAAGCCCACAAGAGAAGTTCCAGATGAGAGGGAGGAAGCCTTCAGTGACTTCCCTACAGCAACACAAACCGGAGTGCTGGCCTCAGGCTGCTCCCAGGTGTCCATCCCCAGGACACCTCTGAGAGCCCCACATTCCTGAGCAGTAACAAACCAGCCTTCTGCACATGGAATCATGGAATCACAGGATGGTTTGGGTTGGAAGGCCCATCCCATCCCATCCCACCCCCTGCCATGGGCAGGGACACTTTGCACTAACCCAGGCTGCTTCAAGCCCCATTGAACCTGGCCTTGGACACTTCCAGGGATGGGGCAGCCACAGCCTCTCTGGGCAACAGAGAAATTCAAACAAAAATTTACATTTCCTACCCCTCAGGACTTGACACACCTCTGGTTCCATCCAGTCTTCCCGCAGTAACTGCTGGGGATTGTCCCCAGCAGCAGGACAGCTGAATCCCACAGGCAGTGCTGCTCATCAGAGCTGTTTTTCCAGGCAGGGCCTCCCCTCAGCAGGCTCTGATCCCCAGCGAGGCAGGGCTGGAGCAGCTCTGTCCTGGCTGGTGCTGTGCAAACCCGCCAGACACATGAATAATTCAGCTGCAGCAGGGAACTGCCTGTGCCATCGCCATAGTAATAAACGCAGAGACGCCTTTACTGCAGCAGATTATGTATAAGAATTCCAAATCTCTTTAGAAGATTAGATTTTGGTGGAGGTACTGGAGGAACACTGATTA